GATCTAGGATGTGTTATTTGAGTGTTCCCTTTATTTTTTTGAGCAGTGTATATAAAAAATTAAGGATAAAGTATTAATAAACGTGGAAGTAATTTGGATTTTCTTTTAATATTTAAGCATTAAATTTATGAACTTTAAAGAAAGCATTATTAATCTATTTTGAATAGTTTGTATTTATAAATTATATGAATTGTTAGATTCAGACTATAGATTGTATTATAATATAGTTTATATAACTATAAATAACTATACCTAAAATTCATAGTTATAGTAAGACAAGGCAAGTTTATTTCCAGCTGAATTGGGCCCATTTTTTGTTTTCCAGTTCAACAATATGCATTATAACGAAACAACAGTAAAGTGTCCAACTTGGTTGCTTGACAAAAAGATAGGTAATTTTCCCATCTTTATTGATGCAAAAACATTTAAGATCATGGTCGTTTGGAAAGTGAAAGCTGTAAATAAACTATAGCTTATTTTTTCCAAGATATTTATTTGCACTGTTACGTTATTTCATTGGAGATTTAGGGTCAGTTTGCAGGGCATTAACCTAAATAGAGAAACCCAGACTGCCATTCCCCAAACACTAGGGTCAGTCAAACTATTTGAGAGTAGCTGCAATAGTTTGACTGGAATTTGGGAGGATAGCTGCAGCTGTGGGGAGTGCTGCTTCTCAAGGCAAAAATAACTCTGACATCACGATATCCTCAATGCTCCTCCTGCTTCCAGTTAAACTCACACTGGGACAACAAAACAAGATCTTCTGTTAAAAACTAAAGCTGATTCAGTCATTCCTTAAAAATGTGGTGTCATCAACAAAATTTACAATGAGAGACCGAGTCATCCGATTTTGGATAATTTGTCTAAAATAGTCACAATGGCAGATACTGAGCTGCCATGTTTCAAGGGAGGGAAACCAAGCATTGCAACCCTCCAGGATTTGCTTTCTTGCTCAAATGTAACCTGTAGTTTTGTTTGATAAATAGTTACTTGCAGGTGAAACTGAATCCAACCTGCAGGAAACATATTGTCTTTTGTATTTGTACAAGATACACCGAAATACAGTCAGGTTGACAGAAATTACCAGCGAATGGACTGGAAAATGGACAAAATTGGGAATGAAATCCTAAATTCATAAATTGTTATACCTGTTATAACATGACAGTAAAGCGAATCTGGGTGAAATTCCTCATCATAAACATAAATTAATTTATATTTTTGTAATTATAATGCAAACCTCGATCCTGATTTTAGCTGTACGCTACCAAGATCATCTCACTGGGACCACAAAGTAATTACAGTGAAAAGTTTTATTGCCCAAAGCTTTGGGTAAATCATAAACTAAGTGCTCACACAGAGTTCCTGCAGACTTTTATATCTGCCAAGCATTTTTCACATAAACAGCATGTTGGATGTAATGTAGGAACAATTTATCTTGAGATTGCATTCTCTCCACACTTTGTAGCTGAATCCAGCTGATGAGAAAGTGTTCACTCAGCAGTCCAAATTTAGAAGAATGCTTTGAGTCATTAATTCCAGCTCATAGCTCCACTGAATGTAGCTCTAACGGGCATTTTGCATAATTTATGCGAAGAGCGACCAAGTCTCCCTGTGAGTACTTCTTGTCACTGACGAACAAAGGTTCCTCTGTTGTCTGAGAGAATTCAGGCCTCTAAAAACTGCATTGATCTTTACAGTCAATGTGCTGGGAACTGGGCTGAATAGTAACGTGACTGCGCTGGGAAGCACGGGGAGTTTGGAGAGTGACTCACTGCTGGACTAAGCCAACCAGGTCAATAAAAGTGGGAGGAGAAACACGTTGTTTACAATTGGAGACAAGTGTGTAAGTTATTCCAGATTTTTATTCTTGTTTGTGACAAGCCTCTAAAGGGACAAAATTACCACAAACCCTGAGAATTGCACTATTGTTAGAAGATTAGTGGGAAAGCTGCAGGTTAATTGTTTGTTATTTAATGTGCATAATAACAGTCTGACATGTGATATGCTGTTCTTTCTATAGCGTTATTTGTAATACTTACCGTATGTTTCACCTTATAAACATTTTAAATAGAACATACATTCACCCAGAGTTTACTTTGTGCATCAAAAACATGACTAAGTGGTAAAACCTGAAAGTGGCAATACATTGATTGCATTACAAATGTATCTTTAAGATGATCAGATCAGAAAAACAAGCAAATTGTTATGATATACACTATATTAGAAGGCTAAGCTCTCATGCCAACACTGTTAGCAACCCAACAAGTAATTTGAAATCTGTCTCCTTTTTATTTAAAATCAAGAATCGCAAAAGAATGAAAGTATAGAAAGTGGAAATATTATCTGTTGAGAATAAATAAATCTGTGTTTTCCTTCTATCTCTTTTAGCTAGTTGCAAAGCTAAAGCTAGAGGAAATGACACACTAGGGAACGCCCTCTCTAGGGCATAGCTTAGAGAGAGGCTAATAAAGGAGATCACAAACTATTCTTGGATGCCATTTTGTTCTGCTAGCGGATAGCATGAACTATGGACCAGCTGTATTTTGGTATTAATAAATGGAATTCATGAATTCAACTCACTGACTCTTCTTCAACCTTATAAATCAAGAAGTTAGCATGGAGAAAGGATAATTCTTACTTTTGTTAGAGTTAGCACTGCAGCACAGCTAGCTGATATAGGAAGTTAGAATAGTAGAAGTTCATTTGAGCCATTAACAGTTATTGGGGTAAAAGCTTATTACTCTGGATTAGTGTGATGGAAAATGTTATAAAGTGCTCCTCACCCTTTTTGTGCTTCAGATTGTGTCTGATGATGAGATCATGTGTCTGCAGGATCTTATCATGAGATTGGTCAAGTTGCTCTCCTATAGACTCGTACAGTACCATATGACAGCAGGGGATGTCCTTGATCCTGGAGACTATTTAGTGTTATTTCCCCACCCCAGGACTTATCTGCCCCCTTTAGTATTACAGAACAACGCCCTTTCCTAAATGGCCAGGCTATCTGTGTTGGGCTCCACAGAATCCCTGGTATGTAACAATCAGGGATTCACACCTATTGTCCAATCAAGTCTCTCTTCTCTGACCAGAACCTATAAAAGGAAGCCAGATCCACTGTTAGTCAGAGCGGATTTGACAGACTCCTTTCACTCTGATTTCTGTTCTCACCTTGCAAAGTTTTAATAAATTTCTTATTTCTTCTCATCCAGACTCTTGTTAAAGTAATTTCTTCCATGACAATTAGCTGCAGGGATCCACAGCTCAGGTAGAACAGTTTGTCTGAAGTATAACTGTTAGTCTTGTACTTATCAAGTCTGACATGGAAAAGTGACTGAAAGAAAGCCATTGTTGAAAAACAAAAATCCATAAGAAGCCCAGTTTGCATTTTGACACCAGTAGTGTAGAGAGCGTGGTAGACAGTGATCTTGCCAGTGGAAATAGGCAGATTGATCAAAAAATATTGATACCAACTTGGTAACAGCACTGAATTGATACTAGCAAGATAAGTTCGATAATTAGCTTCAGATTCACTCTTGAAATTCAGTTTTATTTTTGTGTTGTAGTTTCTCAACTCTACCTCAAAAGAGATTTTGTTTCAATTTGCTCTCCAGTGATTATCTCTCTTTTTTTTGCACTTTATTTAAGAAAAATGCATGCAAATTATGATAATAATATGTCATTAAAGTATTTTGTAGGCACCTATAAGCTTGATTTCAATTTTGTTGTAGATTTGAACAAAATAATTAAAAGGAAAAACCACAAAGAACAGAAAGGTCAGACGTTTGGTGATGTACCAAACTCAATATCAGTATTTGTATCAGCAATACAGATCAAATTATGCAGTGTGAGACACCTACAAATTTTAAAAAATATATCATTCTGGACTACATGCAGAAAACAGCAGGAAACAAACATTGCTTATCTCCTGATGTTTGTATTTGTTTTATTCTTCAGCGGGAAAAGGAAGCTACTTTTTTTTCCCTGTGTCTTTTAATATATTTGCACTACTGTACTTTGTTTATAACACAAAACCCCCCCAAAATCATTTGAAGTTTGTGGTTGTCACGTCACATAAAAAGATTATGAGGTATAAATACTTCTGCAAGACGCTGGACAGTGAAGTTTCTAAAGCCCCTCGCAAAGATACGCTCAACAGTTTGGAGAACTTTTACTTTCTTTTGCATAGTTATTCTGTCACTTAAGTGAAACAAAAAGAAAAAAACCCAGAATAATACAGAAAGAGAAATAAACCCGGAATGCGTGCGTGCGTGCGTGTGTGTGTGTGTGTGTGTGTGTGTGTGTGTTTCTGTATCCACGATACTGTGCTCAGTCGTGGGGTGGAGGAGCTGGGAAGGAGCTGGTGCGGGATCCAGACACTCCTGAGCAGGAATTTCCTCCCACTTTCTGAGCCAAACGTTCACGTGTAACTCGTGTAACTCGTGTTTTTACCGGACCGCGGCCACGTGTGTAGGCACAGCAGACCCCGCCCCTTCTGGAGGAGGGTCTTTCCACTCCACGCCAGTTAATAAAAGTTTAGTCCGTGTGCATGGCTGTGGGAAAACTGGGAGAACCTGGCAGGAGACGGTCGCGTTTACCTGTGATTTGTGGAGGGTGTGGATTGGATAACAACACCAACTTCATCGTCATTGTTCTGAAACTGAGTCGAAGACAACAAAGAGGTGGACAGACAGACTCACTTCATACCGCAGAAGAAGAACTGGACTTCATTTGAATCAACATGTAAGTAAAAATAACTAACTTTTTATCAGACTGGAGAAAACACAAAATGGAGCTCTGTCGAAGGTGTCAGTATCTAAAAGTAGCCTAATTTATCTTTTTTAAAAACCATATAAAGTTTGAATCACTTGTCCCATTCATTCAAGATTCATCTTCTCCATTGTGACTAGCTGGTATAAATCTAGTTTTCTCAGTCAGATTTTCCATCTACAAGCTTCAGAGGTCACCTGGACTTGTTGTTGGGTTATTTTTACACACGTGTGTGGGTCCTTCTGCCCTGCAGAAAGTGACAGCCCAGATTTGACTGCTGGACACGAGCTGCAGACTCACGTGGAGCAGAACAGAAGATAGAAAATGGGCAGGGTTCCTCTCCTGCTTCCCGCCACTGCTTGAATCATTCCACTCTGGGTTGGAGCGCCTCCTCCCAATCTGACGTCCAGTGCCCTGATAGGGTGGAGACGGGAGCAAAGCTGGGACACAGTGCTGTTCATTCATTCTCCTTCTGCAGTGTACTTCACCAAATATAGAAGAGGTACTCCTTCCAAAACAGAGGAACTTTTGTTTAAATGTTAGGAGTCACTTTTATTTCAAATTTTCTCCTAATTGGAAGTAATTTTCTGACCTTTGCACTGCCAACCCCCCCCTCCCCAATTATGTAACAGTGGGTGGTGAAGGAAGTCAGTCAGACTTATAATTACAGCCAATTAGTCATCAGTACCCTTGGTGGTTGGTGGATTCATTAGATGTATTATAAGTAGATATATCTAAAGGGTTTTGGAGATCCCAGTAACCCATTCAGTAACCTCCAGATGAACCTTCAAGGGATTGATTAGGATTCCTACATGTAGGTTTTATCAAATGTGTTGCGTCTTAGTGTCTTCTGTTAGCATACAGTGGATCCCCAACTGTTTGCAGTTCACAGAGTTTATCTAAAATATTCTAAAGAAAAAGCAGCTCGATTTACAGTGGACAGCGAGTATAGGTGATCCACTCTAAATCCAGATTAGTTGAAGCCATTTTGGTCCTAAGACCAAATTGGTCTTCTTTTGACTTCTGTTTCAAGAACACCATGGCAGTTTCAACAGAGACTACATTATTAGCCTTCAAACCTTTGTCACATTTGAAGGGTTGCGGTTATTTACTGAGAAGGGGATGGGTATTCACATAGAAGATAGTCTTTGGAGGCGGTGCGCCCCCATAAACCTTCCTGTGTGAAACGCATACCAGGAACAGAGCATGTAAAGCCTTTCCAGTGAGTGTTATTAATTATTAAAAAAGTAAGACGGTAAAAAATACATACAACTCTGACTGGAAAATTTTATATGCTCACTTTTTAGTACATGTCTCATGCAGGAAGTTCGTTGGTGCCTCATCAAATTGTGTATGAATAACATCTAATAAAAATTTCCTGAATGTGAAAATGGCTGCACAAAAACACACAAAATACAGCCATACATCTTGAAAAGCAGAAGTAGAGCCTCCTGCACAACCAACAAGAATGCAGCAAGTGGTTTCTGAATGGTTAATCAACAGCAAAACACTTTTGTTTCCCAGCAGCCATTGTGCACTGCATACAGCAGTAAAAGCAGCTGACCAAATGTCCTGGGGTTGCTGGGTAACGATGCAGTGCCTGTCGATTGTGACTTAATAATCGAGAGGTTTTTGAAGCAACTCATTTTCCAGACACCAAAAAACATGAACTCCTTGCAAAAAAAAAAAAAAGAAGTTTTTTTTTTTTAAGCGCTTGGAATGTTTTTTTTTTTTAAACAGTTGAGATCCAAATGGAAAAATGTGCAAAAAGTGAATTTTGCATAATACACCTCCTTTAAATCACAAAACCTATTAAAATGCATGAAATCCTATTCATTTTTTAAGGCTGCAGAAGTTAACATGCCTTCACCTCCTTCTTATAGCAAGATGTTACCTGCCTCATCAGATATGTCAAATTATTTCCTTTTCATTACAATAATTGCCCCTCACTATGCAGTTACTGGAAAGCCACGGTAGCCTGGGGAAGATTTATTTTTAATTTATTGGAAAGCAAAAATAGTATGAACTGGTAGGAACTTGTTTGCTCTTTGCTTGATTAGTGTGGAGTTAATTATGTCAGCGCTGCTCCAGTAGGTCATTGTGTATGGAGAGCCATTTGCGCAAAAACAGATCCTTGCACAGGTTTGACCTCAGGAAGGCGTTACACTGCCACCTTGTGGCCGGCTGAGACACCACGGTTGATTTGTTCCTACATGTCCGCCAGATTATGTCCAGGCATGTACCGAGAGCTAGAGAGGGGAGGGGCGGTGAGTCACTGACGGCTTCCTGCCTTGTTAAAAGCAGCGCTGCAGTCAGACTGCTTCTTCACACAGGAGGTGTTAAACAAGGCAGGAAGATGGTGAGTCTGGGCTCTCATTTTCTGTTTGTGAACTCTATGACTTTAATTTTTTATTGGTTGTTCGTGTAAGGATTCAACTTTACATTAAAATAGATGAGTTCATCTTTAAAGAGGGGTTTTTGAGAAATTATCCAAGTAGTTGTAACTTTCTTTAGGACAGTGGCTTTTAAAATTAACCAGAGACCTGTTGTGTTTTATTTTCAGTGCAGAATCATGGCTCCTCACAAGCCGATGCTGAGCTCCCTAGGGGGGAACAGACGGGCCCGCAGGAACCTGTTCGGCCCTGTGGACCGAAACCAGCTGCAGGTGGAGTACCAGGCAGCGCTGCGCAAAGACCTGGAAGAAGCGTCCAAACGATGGGGCTTTGACTTCAAGTCGGACAAGCCCCTGGAGAGCAGCGACTTCAAGTGGGAGGGCATCCCAGAAACCAGGGTGCCACTGCTCTACAGGTCCTGCGTGCTGGCGGAGGGCCTGGGGCTGGCCAGAAGGGCTGTTCAGACCAAACCAGCAAGGTTGGAGAAGGAGAACATCCCTCAGACGCCAGAGAAGTGGGTCCTGGAGGACCTGGAGAAAACGCCGGAGAAGGGAGACAAAGCTGCGCTGAAGAGGAAACAGACGAACATCACAGGTTGGTCCTTATCTATCAGTGCAGAGAATTAATAGTTGTTGGTGTCAGACATGGCTGACAAACTTATCACGATATAAACGTTTCACATCAGTCGATAAAGGTAATTATCGATTAGTTTTTCGTTTTAAATGTCTAAAGTGCTGCCAAACTGGTGTTGTGACACTTTATCCAGTTTTCACTCCACACTAGTATTTTATTTATTTTTTTACTTTTAAGCAGCTATGAAGCATAAACTGCTGCTGGGCAAGTTACTCAGCAGGTTGTTGCTAGGTAACCACAAGTTACTCACCAGGTGGTTGCTAGGTAACCAACCGATCTTACTTGGCTGGCCTTGAGAGGTCGAGTGGCTAGTTTTTCTCCCAGAATGCTGTTTGGTTCTGGGCGCAGTACAGTGAATATTCCATGTACATCAGATGCATTATTATCTATCGATGCAGATTGTCATTGATTGATTTCCCAGCTTTAGTTCAGCGAGAGATGAACATCGTCGTCTTTATCCCAACAGATTTCTATCAGGCCAAGAGACGAGTTGTGTGGATGCCGAGGAAATCCGGGGAGTGATATCCACAGAAACGCTGCCAAAGCTCCCAAGAAACCACACGGGCTGCACCTGACTCAGGAATCACACAGACTATAACCATGAATCATGTAAACAAAACAAAAAAAACCCAGAGGGGACCTCAGCTGCTCGTCAACGCTACAGTATACGGTAATTAGGGTCAGTAAAGGAGGGAGCTGGCTTGTTTTTTTTCCCCCCCCGTCGGTGGTAAGATGGGGGCATTTGAGCAGAAAAGATTAACAGTAATCCCTGGAATCAGTGGATTTATACTCATTTGGATCAAGGGCTCGCCAAAGTGCAGACTGACATTTGCTGCGGTCATCCATCCCTCGGCTCTTTCAAAAACCTCAGCTTCACGGTAACTCTACCTCTCTAAGGAAACAAGAAGACCTGGATGGAGCGATTTGAGATGTTGCTGAGGCTGTTGGGTTCGCAGGAAGAAGCTGAAGACCAGGAGGAAGCACTTAGTCTCCTTTGTTCAAATGCACTGTTGTTGTTTTTTTATACTGTGTTTTCTACTTCTTGTACTTTGTAGGAAAATACTTGAGAAGCTCTGATCTCTTGAACATGCAGAAGCTTTGCTTAGACGCCAAATGACAGAAGTGCCACCCTGTTTTTTTTCCATCCATTCTACTGTATGTAAAAGTTGTCATTTAAAAAAAAAAAAATCAACCCAGATAATTTAACAGTTATTAGCCTCTGGTTCTTGTTCGTAGGATATATGTTGTAATCTAACTCAGATTGAGAGATATAGTTTTATTTAGCATAGTAGCATTAAATGAAAAACATTGCAGTGTTGCACATCCAGAGCCTTTACTGTGCCTCTCGGTATTTTTTAAGCTCCATAAAGGACTATCATAAGAAAGTGTTCCTGGAAACACAAATGTATTATTTGCCAAGCTAAAGCACATTTCATCAAACAAAGCGTGTTCCTTTTTTTATTTTTTTTTCCTGACATTTATCTCTGTTCTGGCAAATCCTGCTGCTATGGATAATCTGAACGGGTCGCAGACAAGGGCCTGTAATTCTAATCCTTTACATACTGACAGCTTTGAAATGTCCACCACTGCAAATCCCAGGCAAAAAACTGCCACACACAATGAATGCACTTCTGTTAGTAGACGCTTATGCACAAACCTTATAAATATATTGTTTCTGTTTAACAAAAGCTGCAACAATGTCTATTCCTTTATTTATTGAAAGATGATATTCCAAGTGTCTGTTTTGATTTTTAATTATGACATTTCCTAACCTGAATAAATGTTTCAAATGTATTTGAGTGGCTTTGTCTTTCCTTTTACTCAAGTTGTTTGTTTTTTTTTTTGTTAATTTACAGCACCTTTCAAAAGTCCTCTGGTTCAGTTTGACCCGTTATAATCGCAAACTTCATGGTGTTTTAATAGAACTTTATCTGCTGGACCAAAGAGTGTAAAGAGAAAGAAAACGACACATAGTTTTCATAGATTTTTCTTTAAAAAATAAAAATTAACTAAAATCTGAGAAGTGTGGCATGTCATTATAGTCCTTCCCCTTTGCTTTAATATTCCTAACTAAGTTCACTTTTATGGCTGCAGCTAACAATTATTTTAGTGATCAATTATTCTGGTGATTAATTGGCGGATTCTGCAGAGGTTCCATTTAACCACTTAAACTTATTTTATTCCATATTTAAAAATACAAATCGGCAAACATCCAAGTCCCTTTTTCTATAAGAAAATATTTTATTGCCTAAATGCAATAACAGTATTCTTTTAGTGTTTATTTGTTTTGCCTGATCATTTTAAGCAAAGGATAAAAAGGTTTTTCATCTTAAATGCTAAATGTAGGGCTGCACAGTGGCGCAGTTGGTAGAGCTGTTGCCGTGCAGCAAGAAGGTTCTGGGTTCGATTCCCGGCCCCGGTCTTTCTGCATGGAGTTTGCATGTTCTCCCTGTGCATGCGTGGGTTTTCTCCGGGTACTCCGGTTTCCTCCCACAGTCCAAAAAACATGACTGTTAGGTTAATTGGTCTGTCTAAATTGCCCCTGTGTGTGCGCATGGTTGTGTGTCTGTGTTGCCCTGCGACAGACTGGCGACCTGTCCAGGGTGTACCCCGCCTCTCGCCCAGAACGTTAGCTGGAGATAGGCACCAGCACCCCTCCCGACCCCACTGAGGGACAAGGGTGTTCAGAAAATGGATGCTAAATGTATTTTTGTCCAGATTTGCTCTGCTGCTGTTTTATTTCACCAAATTATTTTTCTTCAGAGCCACTGTATTCAACAATTAATCCATTACTAAATTAGTTGATTATTCAATAACTGATTAATCACAAATTAATCCGATTAATCGTTTCAGCCCTTCCTACATTAGTAATAAAAAATTGTGGCAGGATTTACAAACTGTTGTCCACAGAAACTCTCCATCCCATCTGACTGAACTTACTCTATTTTTCTTTTCTTTTTTTCCCAAGATCAGTCAAAAGGTTTCAGATTTTTATGTATTTTTATGTATCAACTTCCTCCACTTTACAGTTATACACCAAAAATACTGTGAAATTAACTGAAGTTTAAGTTTGTAACACGACAAAACGTCCAAATGCGCAGAAATTTAAAATCCAAAACCCAGTGAGTGGATGGCATTGGTGTGGACTTGGTTACATTTGCCATCCTCAGCTGTGTGGGATTACAGCTTAGCGGGAGCTCTCAGGTATATATTTATTCACAAAGGTACTATAGTGTCATGCAGTATTGAGTTCCTTGTAGGAATTTTTAATTTAAAGGTGGGAGGACCAAGATAGCAAAAGCACTGAGGCCTTCAGTTTCCTTTTACATGGAACAAAATGTCAAAATGTTCAATGTGACCCGTGCTGCCTGTCGAACAGAAATGTCATCACCTAGATTTAGCAAAAAGACAGCAGCCTCCCTCTGGAAAAACAACATGGTGATTGATCTGTTTCTGCATGTCACATCTATCCTCTCTGACTGACGCAGTAAGCGGCTCATCGGTGCTTCATCAACAAAGTCAGATTGTTGCTTAAGGCAAACCTCAGAGCGTTCACCCCACAAAGTAACCTTGTGACCTTCATATTTTACCGGCTGAAGGATACAAAATAGCTAGAGGGCCTTTTTACAGTTCAGAACAATGTGAGCAGAAGAAAAGCACATTTTCATCATTTATAACTACTAGGTTGTGACATGTAAAGCACAATGTGTTATCTACATTTGAAGGTTAACTCTCCAGTCATAGTAAAAAGAAAGTACGCCCTTTTTTACCAACTGGATTTTAAGCATCAGCACATTTTATAAAGTATTTGGTTTAAACAAGTTCCTAATCATTTAAATCTAACCTCAAAGTGTAAAAAACACACAGCAGATTTCACATTTATTTAATCAATAAATTAAAAAAAATAAGTCTGAATAGGAAAAACTAAGTACACCCTTGCTTCTTCCAGAGGCTTTCAGCAGCCAAATCTTAATAATTCACTATGATAAATGACCGTGAGCAGATCTGACCACATTAGGAGTTTCTGATCGCTTGCAGATGTGTGAAACAAAGATATCAGCAGCTGCAGCTCCCCAAGAGTCACGAGCCGAGCCGTCTTCATTTATAAGCGCTTTTAAAGTGATGAACAAACATCATATAGAAACAAACATAAAGCCATCTTTAAACTACTTGAAGTCCATCCTGCTGCAGCAAAAAATAAATTTTACAGCGAGAAAACGTTTAGGAGTGTTTCCAAATTCACCTCAAGCTGAGACTGAGCAGCGTGCAGCGAAGCATCTCAGTGATCGAAGTCCTTCACAGCAACATTTGAAAACCAAACACCTCGTCTCAAGTGTCAGGGCGGAGGGCTGATGATCTGCAGCCGCACGACCTCTGACCCTTGCTGCCATGAGTCAACTGTGAGCCGTGAGAATCGTGATGTCAAAATGTGAGGCAATCGTGATCTGAAGCAAAGCTGTGAAGAGCAGTGAGCTGAAACATTAGAGACTCAAAAAGGTTTGAGAAAAAAAAGAGACAAATTTAAATTACTGCTGCTAAAGCTGGTTCCACTGAATTATGGAGGCTTCTTGGGTTTACACACACAGTTTTACCATTTTACCTTGTTTTATAATAAATACTAGTGTTGAATATGTTGGATTCTGAATTTATTTTATTTTATTAAAAGGACAGTTAGTATTAATCAACATGAATATGTCAGATAAATATGCAAGATTTAGCCAGAGGCTAATTCTCATGTGTAGATCCCAGTAGGTTGACAGAAGGAATTTAAAAGAATTAACACATGACCTATCACAGACTTCAATGTATAGCTAAAAGTGGCGTAATTTGCAGTAAAAATGTATAATAAAAATAAAAACAAATCACATCTGTACGAAAATATGTATGAAAAAACATTTGTTAACTTAAACATTATTCAGGAAATGAGTATAATTTTAATCTAGTTGTGTTTTTGTTGAGGCGAGGTTTAAAAACCCACAGAAATCATGGACTTGATTTGACATTTTTTGTCCTTTTGAAGAACTCAGAGCAGTGAGAAACTTGTCTCTGGGAGAAAAAAGGGATCTGAGGCACAAATTAATTACTACTGATTGTAAAAGGAAGCAGCAGCGTTACTTGAAATGTTCAAAGAAGCAAATTATGCAGAATCTGCTGCCAGTAGAGCTGCTAATCATTTTCAGAAGAAATCCCCAAGCAGAGAGGATTTTCAAACTCTGTGGTTTTAGTTTACAAGCTGAAGAGTGCATATGCAGAGCTTTTAAAAAATAATTTACATTTCATTTCTTAAGCCACATTCAGCTGATAATAAATGGAAACCGATCCATTGCCCTCATTGTAGCTACTGATATCCAAGTCAACAGACATATAAAAGTTCAAATAGTTTTAAAAATCACTTTGACACGTTTAAAAATAGATAGAAATTAGTTTTGTCTCGGCTCCTCTTCAGTTCACCATTTACCGATCAACAAATTTCTGTTTCACCAAAAGAGAAAATGCAAAGATAAACATCAAAGATAGACATCAAAGATAGACATCAAAGAAAACATCTGCTGCAGGTAAGATATTGAAAGCTCATAACTGCTTAACAGAACCCCACTTAAAAAAATCTGAACTAATCCTTTAAGATAAATGAAAAACCCTGAAGGCGGTTAAAGGTGCAACTTATCTAATAAAAATGGCCTCGATGCGCCCTCTACTGGTGACCTCCGTATTGCATTTCATCTGTTCTCATTTTGGACGACATGCACACAATGTCAATAAAAAACAAAAACAAAAAACAAATAGATTATTTTAAGCAAACACGGTTGTTATCTTTAAAACGAAGAAGATAAATTGTATAATATGACACTGTATTATATTCGGACGGATTCAAGCTGCTCCCCACGCCTTCCTGTTTTAGATTTTGGATTAAGAGGATGTTGTTTTATAACCTAAATCTGCTTTAAACTTCTGCTGTGTTCTTTCATGATGCTGTTTCTTCCCTAATATTCTCCAAGAAACCGCTGAGGCCTTCAGAGATTAAATTACAGACAGACCGACTGACTTAGGTGACTTCAAAAGACATTTGGAGGCACATTTGGATTTTATTTAGAGATTTCAGAGTAAAGAGGGTCAAATAGATAACCGTGCCACACATCTCGGATTTGTATTCAAAGATTAATTTTCTTTCCAACAATGCTATTGGTCTTTCACACAAAATCCCAGAAAACACATTGATGCTTTTGGATCTGATACATTGGTGTCCAAAGTGCGGTCCAGGGGCCATTTGCTGCCCCTGGAATGACTGCTTTTGGCCTCCGACTTCAGTTTAATAATGACACCAATTTGCTCTCCCAGTGCAGGTGGTTGATGTAGATGATAATTTTCTATTTCTAGGTCAAAATTATCACAGACACATAAAAATTTTCTCACAGTAGAAAAAGTGAAACCAGGTGTTT